ATGGATTGACCGGGGGGGGCAGAAGAAAGATAGATACTCATCTGACAGACAGAGGGGTGGATGGATTGAGGGATGGAGGGTGTGATAGACTAGTCTGACATTCTTCCAGAGGAATGAAAGAACGAACAGAGAGACAGATGATGAAAAAGTGGTGTGGCTGCTGACTGAGAGAGATAGCCAGCCATTCATCCGTCTGACACTGAGGCGAGGGGAAGAGGACATAGGGAGAGAGAGACACAGACTCAGACCGACCGGGTAAAAGAGAGAGAGATGCTGTGTTTGCTGTAGTCAACACAGCCCGGTCTCTCTACCCTGTCCGTCGGCCTGTGGTAATACTGCTTCTACCATCTGCTGCCATGCACACATGAGCACACAGACAAAGTGCTGCTGGCTCAGCAGCACTAAGTCACATAATAAAGCCCATAGTCACAGATCGGGATTATACAAGAGATCTGCGAGTCACAACCGTTGGTGTCGCCACGGCGTCCTGTGCAGCGCGCTGATGAGAGAGACCTGAATCCTTTCATCTGCTGGACAGAAACTCGAAAAATGTTTTACTTTTGATTTGCCAGTTGCACCTTTTTGAATGAGTTTCAAAGAGCCTGGAGCGATAAAGCTTCTTATGCACGAAAAAGGAAATGAAAAATACAACAAAAAAAAGTTATAAGGTCCCGAGGCAAAAGGAGAAATATTCCACGCTTGCGCTGAGCTCTTTCTGTCAGAATGAAGAGACCAGCATGGGAAGCTGGAATGAAAATAGTTCATGCTTAAATGTAATAACAGGAGACTTAGTGTCTTACTCAAGGACACTTAAGCCAGTAAGAGTAAGATTGAACTTCTGCGAGAGAAGCATCAGCAAGCAATGCTCTATGTACACCAAACAAACACTGTTGTTTGAGTGTATGTGTGAGCCTTCTCTCCTATATTGTGACAGATGGCAGACCAGACTGTTAGGGGTCCAGTAGGGCGTCACGATGAGCCAAAAAACAGCCCAACGCCTCCCATGTTTTTATGTGTGACTGTGTGCGTGTGTGCATTTCAGAGAGAGCACCATATCATCCAGCATAGGGGATCCTGAAACCCAAAACTGATCCAGTTAATCTAGGAGGTGGAGGTGGAAGAGGGGAGAGGAAGAGAAATAAAGGTCACTTGTGCATAAACACACACACACACACACATGCACCATGTGGGCCAGCAGTCAATCACAATTTGGACGAGCTGGCACGGGTAAGCAGAGAATTAGGAAGGATTATGTATATGGTAGGAAGCGAGGGGAGGGGAGTGGTGGTTGAAGCCTATTTTACCGTGTCACGAGACGGCACGGGGGAGGGACCCACCTGCTGGACGCAACTATTACCTGTCTGTCAACTGATCCACCTGTCAGGAGTTTGACTGCAAGGGCTGTAAGGACATGACGACCCTCAGCCCTGACAGATTTTCTAGGTGTGGCCAAGTTTTGGTGGGCTGGTGTCGTGACTTTCTGAAGGTTGATGTTGACCTCCAGCTTGAACTGGGACCCTCTGGAGGTGAGCGGAGTAAGAATGAGCAACTCCAATCTGCAGTAAAATTGGTGGATTTGCATGATCTGGACCGGAAACCTGCTGCTTCACGAGTTCCAGGCAGAATCCAGAGGAGGATTGATTGGAGGATCATTGCGGCATCTGCAACGATGCGGATGCTTTAGCGCTCTGTTGATTTACTGGTCAATCTATTTTCCTATCCTCATGTACTGCCATGAGCTGTGGGCATTGACTGAAGAGATACAAGTGGCAGTAATGTGCTTCTTCAGAAATATCATAAAATATTTACAAAGCAGTTTCTTAAATAATTGAAATCCTGCATTGTTTCTATGCCTGCTTATTTCCATCAGGCGCAAACAAACTACCTTGCACCATCATATCAGTCAAAATAAAAGAAAAACCAACTGTGGGACGTGAATCACGCCACCCATGTTTGGTGCCAGCATCAATTTGAGTGTGGATACTACAAACAGAATAACGACACACATTACTCTGGTGTTTTAATTAATTTAATCATTTCTTAGGTGAAAAACTCAGCATCGTCAAATCTCATGTAGCCTTTACAAACTGTCATTCAGTAAATGTCACGGTACACACACGGGCACTCGTTTTTTGTGGGAAAAGTATTAAAGACTGTGAATTTGCGCATGAATACTTTTTCCAACTATTCAATTCACGTCTGTTTTCTGTACTTTTTCAGTTATTTTTTTAAATTGCCAGGTATCAGGTCAGCCTGCGTCTGTGTCAGTCTCTCTGCCTGTCTGTCTTCTGTTCAAGCTGCTGCCTGTTCTTCCAGCACCGATAGCTGCTGCACGAGAGGCAACTGTGAAACAGATTCAGGTCTGGGAATGAAATGATTCTTTCTGTCTGCTTGTCTCCTCCACCTATCTGTTTAGCCCCTGGCACACTTTCCACCATCACATAAGTATTCGCACGGTATAAGCAGGCATGCCTATGCATGGACGCATTCATTCAACCAAAACACCCACAGAACACTTTTCTCTTTTGTTTTTCTTTTTCGTGCCCTTTCGCTTGCCGTTCGGGCTCATTCTTCCCTCCTTCTTCTCTTCTGTCGCTCTTTACTCATCCTTCCTGCTCCCTCTTTTTTCCCCCCTTCCCCTGT